TTTGTTCACAAAGTTTCTTCTCGGTTTGCAATTGTTCATTGTATACATGATGTTTTCAGCTTACATATCTTGAGTGTTTTGGTTTTGTTAATCAATTCTAGATCCTTTCTAGGTTACTTCTTTCTTGTCCTAGCCAACTCTTGTTCTTTGTCATCTATATTGTCTTCTTCTATACTCTACTCTTGTCTTCTTTCACTCTCAAATATCTTTGCTGTTTATGATCACCTTGGAACTCAAATGTGACCTATGTTATTAAAAAGTGTATTATAGTATTAAATTTTTGACAAAAATATAAATTTGTCGAAAATTTTTGATAAAATTTTTCGTAAAAAATTTTCTATCAGAAATTTTTAACAAATTTATATTTTTATTAAACTTATTAATATTTATATACACATAAAAAATTTAATCAGTAATGAAGAATAATAACTTATTCTAAATTGTATAATGTTACACATATTTAAAAAAAATATAAGAGATCTTATTAATGATAAAAAGAGATCAATATATAACTCTTCATCCAATTTTTAATATCTTATCTTTAAAAGATTATATAAAAAAAGTACAGTACAGCAAAATCGTGGAAGCCAATGAATGATAGCCACGGAAGGTCAGACGGAAAGGTGGGGCCCACAGTACAGGCTTCTAGTAGCACTATAAATAGAGGAGCCATCGAAGCTGTAACACACATTACAAGTCGCGTTTCACTTCAGAAAACGAAGCGAACCCAATCGAATAGAGGGAAAAAGTTAGGGTTAGGGATTTGCGATTTGGGGCATGGCGTCGAAGAAGATCACGCTCAAGAGTTCCGACGGCGAGGCCTTCGAGGTGGAGGAGGCGGTGGCGCTGGAGTCGCAGACGATTAAGCACATGATCGAGGACGATTGCGCCGACAGTGGAATCCCTCTTCCCAATGTTACCAGCAAGATTCTCGCCAAGGTCATCGAGTACTGCAAGAAGCACGTTGAGGCCACCAATAACGATGAGAAGCCCACTGATGACGAGCTTAAGGCCTGGGATGCTGATTTTGTTAAGGTCGATCAGGCCACGCTCTTCGATCTTATTTTGGTGAGTTTTTTTTTTTTTTTTTTTCTGAATCTATTTTGGGCTTTTGTTGTTTAGGGTTTGGGATTGGGGATTTCGGTTTGTTTTGCTTCTCTGGATTTTGTGGTGTTTTGACTTGGGTTTAGGTTTCGATTCGCTTATTTGTTTATTTAAGCGTGAAATTTGGATTTGGATTTTGTTTTGGTGGTTTTTGGTTAAGACGGTGGTGTCGGATTATGAGAGAGGAGTGCGAACGAGATTTTAAACTGGGGTTGTGGAGTCTTTGAACTCTTTGATGTTAAGTGAATGTGACTTTTGAGAGTTTGATAACGTCGAGGTGTTTCCAGAATCGTTGATGTTTGTTTAATCTTTGATGGCCCCATAGTCCTTAATTTTTTAATGTTTTGGTGTTTCTGAAATTGTTTGTGTTGCGGAATCCTTAAAATCTTTGGGTGGAAATAAATGTGGCTTTAGAGATGTCAAAATCCTCGATGTTTTGGTCCTTATTGCCGTTTTGGTCTTTTCAATTTAAAATACACTAAACTTTTATATGATATGATCTCGTTAGTGAGTTACATGCAGGGCTTGAAATTTGTAAGATTGTGATGTGTAATATGGACTGAAAAATTGATTACGAGCAGAGTTCTGTTTTTCCTAGTAAGTTTATGTTTGGTAGATTACACAATATTCTGAAGCAAGTATCAAGGTGTGTCATACTGATTTTAACTTTATGGGTGTATAAGCTCTTCTGTTTACGCAAATTCATTTGTCCATGATCGATTATGGGATGTGTTTTTATGTTATGAATTTCATGAAAATTGTGTTGTGTAAAACTACGGTTGCCTCTCTGCTCTTGATTCATCATTGTTCAATGAATATATTGTTTATACCTATTATGGTTACGGTGTAGTTAAATTCATTGTTCAATGAACATATACTTAATGTGTTACCTATTAAGGAAAAATTTTATGTGTTTATGAATATAAATAAATTAAAGTAAAGTAATTTATGTATTTACACAGTAAAAAATATATTCATTGTTCAATGAATAATGCTACAGGACGTTCATGATGATTTGCGTCCTGTAGTGTTGTGTGTATCATTTGGATGTATTTTTTGCCGTTAAATATCAAGTTTTTTGGTGCTCAGTTCTGTGTGTGTGCGATTCATGTATATTATAATCTCTGATATACTTGTGTTTATGTGAATTAAGGCTGTGCTATTAGTTACTTGATGTGTTATGGAAATTTTCATTTTCAGGCTGCAAACTACTTGAACATCAAGAGCCTATTGGACCTTACTTGCCAGACTGTAGCAGACATGATTAAGGGGAAGACACCTGAGGAAATTCGCAAGACATTCAACATCAAGAATGACTTCACCCCAGAGGAAGAGGAAGAAGTTCGCCGGGAAAACCAATGGGCGTTTGAATGAGTTTTCAAATTCCAATGTTGTTTAAGTCATCTATAGTTGCTAGTTATGTTACTGACTATTTTGTTTGTGTTGACTTATGTTCGCGTATCAGACTTGTGTTTCTTGTTGAACTTAAGGGGCAATCGTGAAATTGTAAGTAATAGTTGAATATGGTGGGCATGCTTTTGAGTCTGGTATGAGGGTAATTCATTGTCAAATGCTTGTTCCTAGTAATTGGTCTCTCTTATATTAATTGAATAGTCGTGTTTGTTCTTTCGTAACTCGTACCTTTTTGTTTGATCTTTCGTAACTCGTACCTTCTTGCGTGCATAGTTGTCTTTACTTGGAACTGTTTCAAATCTCGCTTTCGTCACCACTGACATGAATGAGAGACATTAAGTAAACAAATCATGTGAAGTCATGGTGTTTTTGGTTTGTGGTCTGTACGCGTCTCAATTTATGTGAGAGGTTGAATTGTAAATGGAAATAGGTGAAAAATAACTTTGTTATCCATTCATTGATTATCAATGTTGGTAGGGTTTATTTGGGGCGCATTTTAATACTGAAAAATGTTTGAAGATCTTTTTTTTTAATATCGATTGGCGTAAAAGTCTTCTCGGCA